TCATCACTCCACAGTACATTGTTCCTCTTTGCGCGTTCCGTTCTGTCGCTTCTTCTTTTTGTTCTCTCCCCCCGCATGCGAACATGAACAATGGTGCGAGAGGGGCAAAAAAAAAATGCATGCACCTTGGCTCAAAAAAAAAAAAAATTAACAACTCATGCATGGCTGTAACAAGCTCTACAGTCTTGCCCCCACCAAACAAGTTGGTAAAAAAGGGGAGGGAAAAAAAAAAAAAAAACTGTTCCAACGGCCCTTTTAACCATAACAAAATTAGCCGCGTAAAAAAAAAAAAGAGGAGAAAATTAAAAGAGCAACACAACAGAACAGTTCCAGTCGGTGTGGTGGAAGTCAATGTGATGAGACCACTTGCATGTTTATCTGCTCTGTCTACACGTGTCTGCGCACGAGGCAGTTGCGCCCCTCCCCCTCTGTGAGAAAAAATGCGTCAAACGTTGTACCAGTCACCCGGACACACAACTATATATCGCGCACAATTGTGGAAAGGAGCTTCTTCAATAAACTTTGTGTACATGGGTAAGGATGCCCCTTTTGTTAGTTCTGCTTGGTTCGTATTGTCGTATGTGGTGCGTGTCTGTTTTTTTTTTTTTTTTTTTTTTTTTATCGCTGTGGGGTGTCTGCCAACCTGGCAAAGTAGACAGACACACCATTGAAGGACGTCCCCCTTTTTTTTATCCTGTCTCTCATTTGGGAGATCCCCTCCTCGGGGGAGCCCCTTCACGTGGATGAAGCTCTTGCAGACGCATGACACTCCCTTCCGCTGTGTCACTTGTTGAGGTGCACGCCGATGAAACTTCTCACGTGTTCGCTCTGGTGGCTGGCGCTGTTGGGCGAGAGGTTACTGGCGACGGGAAGGCACTTGGCCAAATTCGCACCATCATTGAAGGAAGAAGGGGAGCTGTTTGTGGAGTCTCCGTACGAGTGCGAGCACAGCGGGTTTATAAGTCTGTTGAAGAGGAACCCGCTATACTTTTGCTTCTTCGTGGGTGAAGGGGATTACTACGGGCTAGTGCTTCGGACCTACAACTCGGAAGACCTCAAGTGGGAAAATGCAACAGAGGTGTTAATAACAAAACAAAAAATAAATATGTATACCTTCATAGACGATTACATCTCTGGAAAACTTATCCTCATTTATTCATACGATGAAAAAATACGAGTCACCGTTTTTAATAATTATAAAGAGCCATCCACAGACACGTACAAGATTGGTGTTAATTATGAAATCCTGCAGATAGCTAATGTGACTTCAAGAGTTACATACATCTTCAAGAATAGAAAGTCCATTGTTCTTTGTGGTATGAACAGAAGTAACAATATCCTTTGCTCCTTCTCTTTCGATTATGGACTCACCATGAAGGATGAAAATGCTATTGAGTTCATTTTAAAAAATAAAATCCCCATAGCAAATTATAAAATGCATGTGGAGTTTAATCAGGAACAAGTTTATTTCAACTTATACGATGATGTGATTCAAGACAATGATTATGAGCTGAGGTGCACCCAAGGGTTTGATACAGAGTACACGTGTGATATACTATCTAAGCCACTTAAAGAAACAGAGAGCATTCAATATAGAGGTGTGTTGCGCAATCCCATGTTTCAGAGTATCGTGTACGAGATGAAGGACAAGTGTTATATTGGATGGTCTTTCAACTCGACTAGCATGAACAGCGAGATTGAGATGCTCGTTTCAGATTCTCCATGTTCACATGTGTCACTCTTTCACCACGGGACTTCCTTGGTGGTTGTTTACCAGCGTGGCCCCTTCGCTCCACTGGGTCCCCAGTTTTACCGGATCTTCGAGGTTACTGCTCCGCAACTACATGCTTTTGCGAGTCGACCGATGTTTCACTACTTCGCGTAATGCGCACGGTCCATTCTATTTCATGTTCTCATTCCGCTTCGCTTCATTTCGTCTCATTTCGCACCGCTTCTATTATAATCCCCGCAGAACTTACACGAGAAGAGTGCCGGTTGCGAGTTCCGCGTGGGGGGCAGCCTGTACGTGGCGAGCACCTTCACGAACGAGCAATGTAACATCAACATGGAAAATATAAATGTGAACCCCGAGAACGAAGAAGAAATAAGTTTCAGTATCGTTGTGCCTTCGGAGTACGAAATACAAGACTCCACCTGTTTCGTCTCCAACGACATGTACGACAATGACAAAACAACTTTGTACTACCTCGAGAGAGATCAAGTGGAACAGGAGAACCTGTCCATGTACACCTTCCTCTTCTACCAATACATAATAGACCACACCCATGTGAAGGAGAGCACTTGTATTTTTGTGAACGAAAAAAAGAAGAAGGACAAGTTGCAAATTTCTCTCACGCTGGAAAACTCATACAAAGAAGACACATGCGATATTGGATCAGACGATTTGTGTGATTTCATTGTTCAAGGCAAAAGCAAAATAATTATTCATTTTGAAGAACAAGATTGGGAAGCGGATAATGAATTTGTGAATGCATCTCGAGTCATTTACAACGGCGTTCATATACCTCTACATAACCTACTGAGCACATCAAATATAAATGACCTCGTTCAAATAAGTAAAAACCACATTTCCATTTTTATCCCTAATATAATACCTAGCAGTAGAACGGCCAAAATTGTATTTAGGAGTAAAAATGAAGAGGGAAGAAATAAGCCTGTATATCTTAGACTGCAAAAAAATATTAAACCGATGAAGAAAATATTAGGGATAAATTTCTCCTCCTCATTTGACATAAGCTACAAATATTTTAAACACTACCAGGAGAATGTTCAATTTTTAATAAATGATTTTAAGGAGACAAATTACATAGGGATGGTGTGTGAAACACATGTGCAGATTACAGCACCCCCATGTACTCTCATCCTAGTGGATCACACCAATAAAAACTTTCATATCCATTCTATCTTCCCTCAAAAGGTCCCCTTCCTGTATAGCTACACAAAGAAGAAACTCCCTTACGCACACAACAACCTCTACATAAGCGAAACCAGGTTTGTCGTCTTTAAGCATTTCAATTCCATCCTCGAACAGAAAAATATTAAGTACCTTTACTTCAAGTGTGTGTGCAATACAAAGAACAGTGAAGGTACCGACTCCTACAACCAAATAGACTTTATTATCACCACTGAAAATATTTCCTCTGAGGTTATACACTCACGAAAGGTTATAGAACTTCCAAAAAATTACAAAGACGATGAGAGTGAGGTGGAACAGGAGACCAACACTCAACAAAAGGAGAGTAAAGAACACCCCAAGTTTAAGCAAGCACAGGGGGGAATGCCACAACCAAGCAAAAGGGATTCCTCTTCAAAAAAACCCTATGCAAAACTCTCAGGCGTTGACTCCTTTGGCAAGAATAACTTCTACAGGAGTTGCGCCACGTGTTGGAAATTCTCCCTGTGCGTCATCTTCGCCTTCCTCTTCCTCTGCTTCCTCCCCTGAGGGGGGCAAACACGCACAAGCAACGACAACGACAACGACAACAACAGGGACGACGACAAAAAATGGTAGCGTGTACACTCTTTCGTCAAAATTTTTAACAGTTTTTTTTTTTTTTCACTCCTTCCAACTAGCTACAACAACTTTCGTAGGAAAAAAAAAAAAAAAAAAAAAAAAAAAAAAAAACTTCACATCACAGGTGACACTTTCTCCCCCCTCCCCCCCCCCCCCCCAAAAAAAAACGCTCCAATGTGTAACAACACATTAACCGCAACACAGCGCAGCGTTGTCTGTTATATGCTTCATTCATTTATGTCCCCTTGGAAAGGAGACAGAGAGAGAGAGAGAGAAAAAAAAAAAATTAACAATAAAATCTGCGGGAGGGCCCCACGCTTTAGGCGTGGTGGGCGTGTCGTTCTCGCAATTGCACACAAAAAATTTGAAGGCTGCCAGAAATGTTTGCACGTACGTAAGAGGGGGTGTGCACGTGCAGACATACATGTTGATTTACACATCCATGTGGACGATTTTTTAAAAAAGAAGGGAATGGACGCCCAGCACGTGTTAGCGGTTCACATATGCCAAGCCGACCTGCCTGCGAACGTGCACAAGTGGTGTAACGTAAAAAAAAAAAATGGGACAAAAATGGCTCACCCCAAGGGTTGGCATGGTGCGTGATGGGTGCTAAGCAATGGCCGCCGCTTAATGGGCATCGCTTGATGACCGGTCCGCCGCTGCCCCCTCAGAAGTAGTACGTGCCCGTGCGCTTGTAGTAGCGGAGCAGGCGCTCGTTGAGGTAGAGGTGCACGTCCTCGAACCAGGGGTGCTTGAGCGCTTCGTTCGCGGTGATCCTGTTCTTGTAGTCGTAGCTGAGGAACTGATCAATCAGATCAATGCCATGATCGCTCAGCAACCTACGGCCATATATATCTGTAAAAATCACCTCCAACATTCTCAGCCTGTCCACCTTAAATTGGGGCAACTCCCCCACGAACTCCTTCTTCAACAGATTGTCAAAGTCGTCATCCGGGATGCCTCGAAAAACTAAAATTTTGAACAGCACGGAGGATTCAAATTTCGAAGTCACTGGTACAAACCCTAATAGGCATTCACACATGGTGATGCCAATGGACCAAATATCCACTGAGTAATTGTACATGGTACTGTTACACAAAATTTCAGGTGGCCTATATTGCAGTGTAATAATATTACAATCTTTCGTTTCCGCTTTTAAAAAGTGATCATATACCCCCAAACCGAAATCAGCTATCTTCACAATCCACTCCTTTGAATCATTCAGCCCATCTGACAAATATTTAATATTTTTAATCAATGTATTGGCTGGCTTTATATCCCTGTGAATTATAAATTTCTTGTGGAAGTGATTAATTCCTTGAAGCATCTGGTATATAATGACCTTAGTCTGTATTTCAGACAGAGATGGCATTTCAGGATAGAAGGATCGATTCTCAATTTTCTTCAATGGAAGATATACATACTTTACGTAATTGTGTATATGGTCATAGGACATGTCGATTCTCTCACTTGGCAAATGTTGTGCAGTGCATTGCTTAATGTGTTGGATGAAGGAAGTGTGTCTCTTCTTCGCTTTACTTAAAATGTCATTAAGACTACAATCACATTTTTCTATGACCAGGAAAAGATCCCAATTTTCAATATAGTCGTTGTTTTTATTTTCTATTTTTTTTAACTTCCTTGAGTGCTTCCTAAATTTGAGCTTATCGATACTTTTGTTTGTCCTAGTCATCTTGTTCATCTTCAGTCTGTGCAACTCTGACCAGTGTTGGGTTCGACCTCCTCCGCTCATCACTCTTGCACCAGTGGCGGATTTGAAAGTGCCCGTCCTGACTTTCTTCTTCGCGTGCAAAACGCTTAGATCGTTGCTGCGATCCTTTCGCACATCCTTCCGCGAGTTGGTCGATCCATACGTGCTGTTACTCCCCACGGTGCTGCTACCGCTACCACCAACAGTAGCGCTACCCTCCGTCTGGTAACTCCTCAAACTTTTAATCGTCCTGTTCAAGTGACTGCCCAAGTGGGCATCCCTATTCAAGCTCTCCTCCTTATCAATATTGTACATAACCAAATCCTTCTCCAAATCCTCAATCGTTATGCAGCTCTTCGAAATTAAATTCTGGTACTTGTTGTTCCTTTCAATAGTATCGCGAGAGGGGGAATATTGATTTCGCTCCACTTTGCGATGCCTCTGAAAACTAAAGTCATACTCAGCTGACAGAGTCTCGTTTCGAGTTTTCTGGCTACGATGTGTTTTTACCTTACTCTTCCTATATGTGTGAACGCGGAAGCTATCCAACAGACACACCACATTAGGGTGAAACAAAATACGCATAATGTTAAACTCGTTAATGGCAAACTCCTCGGAACCGAATTTGTATTTGAAGTTTGGCCAAAAGTAACGTAATACCTTCACGGCAAAATGCAAATATGAATCCTCTAACGACTCCGCCTTAAACACTTTTCCATAAACCCCTTCTCCTAATTTCTTCACAATTTTATACTTCCTCATGAAATCTCGAGGAAACAAATTTAACAGCTTATCCACTTTGATCTCTGAATTTTTGTGATTAAAAGAAATGTGTGAAAATATTTTATCATTTTCAAGCATCTCCCGCTCGTACAGCGATTGCTTGTCGTAGAGGAAGCCGTCAATCAGGTCTAAGCGAAAATCCTTCAACTTTTCATCCGTGACGTAGTCCTTCAACACCTGGTCCTCATCAACAATCTCGTTGTCTTTACTGAACAGGTCATCAATTGTACAAGTCTGATTATCTGGAAATGGGATCAACTCCTTCAGCTTCTCCACTTCTATACTCTCCAATTCTACAGATGCATTCCAGTATTTACTAAAAAATTCCTTTCGACTAAGTAGCCAAAAATTCTTTATGTATTTTTTTATTATGATTTCCTTCGTGTCTACTTCTTTACTTACCACAATTTTTTCTCTCTTGTTGATGAGCAAATCTTGATGATGGAGGAGAAGATCCGACATGCTGTCCCGTTCCTTCTTCTCCACCCTCTTTCCATCTTGAAATCGGTTTTTCCCCAGGAGACTATTATACAAGGACATGCGTGGTCTTTTAAAAAGTTTTTCCCCTTCAAAATGATCATTTCTCACACCTACCATCAAACTATCATCCAATCTGTACTTTAGAAAATCCTCCTTCGACTTACACACACCTCCTTCTCCTCTTCTCTTCCGCGAAATGAAATCTTCTAAATTTGATTTATCCTCGTACATGCTACATATATTGTTAATCAGGTTGTTATTCATACTTCGCTTAAACCTATTTGAACAGTAATTCTCAAAATTCAAAATATTGCTCGAAAATAATTCTTCATCAGACTTTGTACTGTTCACCATATTATTTCTACACGGGAGAGACCTTCCAAGGAGTTGTTCCCTTTGCCTTTCATTTTCTCCATTGATTGACAAATTTATCGAATCTAAGTATTCTTTATTCCTATCCTTGTAACTGTACAGGTGGTCACCGCTTCGTCTCATATCTAGGCCTGCTCTGTACCCAGTTTCACGGTGCCTCCCTTGGCCATTCCCCATGAGCTCAGTTACGCCGACTCCTCCTAAACCTCTTTCCACCTGCGAAATCGCCTTTCCTCTGAAGCCGTTCAATGCGGTGCCCAGGCTGCTACTCATGATGAATCCGTTTTTTGGGCCGGAGCCACAAAATCCCTTTTCGCCCTCCTCCCCAATGGCAGACAATCCAAGGGTCGCCCTATCCACCCGTTGGGTCACATCGGCCCTATCTGCGCGCTCCTCTTTACATTTGTATAAAGAACTCCTAGTCAACACGGTGGACGAATCTCCATTCCTGGAGCTGTACAAATCGCTCAACTGTAAGGGGCCATTCAACATATTACCACTTTTCAAACTCGTATGCAGTTCTCCCCCCGCTCTACTGGTGCTACTCCGCAGGCTACCTTCCTTCAACTGCATGGAGGATCTACCACCAATAGTGTACTCCTGGTTGCTTGCATACAAATTGTGGTGCTCCGGTCCGATGTACAACTCGCTATTCGATGAGTTGTTCGACCTGTAGGAGTCCATGCTGATATTCTCCGCGTGCATTTGGTTCAACTTGGACTTTTTATAATTCATGAGGTTATGCTCGATGTTATTTTTCATGTTGAGATAATTGGTTTGGTTGGCTCCGTTCGCGTAGTTCGAGATGGCTTGGTTGGCCGTCTGGTTCGCCGCGTGACTGACGGCCTGACTCGGCGCGTTACTGCTGACGCTGCAGTCTACGCAGTTATTGCTTTCATTGCGCGCCTCGCTATCGTTAGCGGCCTTAGAATTTCCCCCAACGGACGCCTTGCTGGCATACTTATCGGTCGCTCTTTTATTCTTAAAGTAGTTCAAAATTGTGTAATTTGAACTCTTCACATTGTAATTTTTCCCGTCCACGACGCGGTTCTCCCCGCCATCATTAGCATTTGCATTGTTTCTTTTAATGGAAGTAACTTTGCTTGCATGGGGGTATTTCTTCTCCTTTTCTATCCCCTTATATACAGTGTCCTTTTTGCCATTTTCCTTGCTTCTGGTTCTAATTAAGCAGGTGCTTTCCAACTTGTCTTTTGCATTTTTGGAAATCTTTTCATTTTTCACTCTTTTCAAATTCTTCTTAATAGCTTCATCATTCTTCGATTCTTCATTTAGGAAGGTGTTTTTTTTTTTACTCATGTTTGTCCTTCTTTTACTAAGGGCCTTCTTCTCATTGTTACCACTTTTTTCTATCAACACATTGTTTTTAACTCGTTTTGAAGTAACTCTATCCATTTAGATATTCAGGTTTAAAAAAAAATAATAAAAAAAAAGAGTTAGTGCAGAAAAAAGCAAGGACAAAGGGGGAAGCCACTGTTTTTTTTTTTTTTTTTTTTTTTTTTTTTTCAAATAAAAATAGCTAGTTATATGATTTGTTCATAATTTTGTTGTATGCACATGCATTTGCGGGGGTATTCTTGTGTTTTTTTTTTTTTTTTTTTTAATAAATAAAATGGCTGTATAGGACAGGTGTTTTCTTTGTTAAGAAAATGATAATGCAGTCAAAATAGCCAAGAAGTATTTATTTTTTTTTTTCTTCTTGTAGACCTATGTCCCTTTTTCGCCTGAACAGTTCAGGCCTTTTTCACCTTATTTAATGTGTGTGTAAAAAAAATGCGAATAAACACATCCTTTTTTTAACATGCATACTGCAACATTTCTAAGTGTGTAAATGTACAAGGTGTGTCACATTTGACGCATTTACAAAGCGCGCTTCTTTGCATACCACTGTGGGGAGGTACGCACGAGCAAGTGTTGCATATGTATGTAAGTATACAAGTACTCAAGTACTTGTGTAAGTGTGTATGCATGTGGGCAGGTTTCATGAAAGAGAAGAAGGGGGGGGGAGGGGGGGACAATCTCTTGACGCGTTTCGCTTTGAGATTTCCCTCCCTTTTGTTATTCTCCGCAGGGAACTTAACCCGGCGCACAGAGATGTAAATGTGTATATAATACGTAGGTGGTTCACTCAAATAGGCGGCGCAATATTGCCTTTACTCATGCGTGCACATATGTACTTATGTGAAGAGATGTACCAGGTTGGTCCTGCCCCCCCAAATACACCCACTTGGTCTGCGCGTGTTCCGTTCGATTGGCACACGTGCAGGGGGGGAAATTTGTGCAAAGAGGGGACGGTTGCAAACGCCACGATGCTAAAGTGTGTTTTTGTGCGTCAATGCAAGTCTGCTCCCATTCGTACACAACTTATGTACGTGTGTGCTTATGCTTGAATGAGATGCATGGGAGTGAATACAAAAGGGGGGGAAACAAAAAAAAAAAAATGTATGAGCAAGCGGGTGATCGAATGGGCAAACAAATTTGTGAGAGCAAATGGTCAAACAAACGGATGATCAAATGGTCAAACAAACGGATGATCAAATGGGCAAACAAACAATTGAGCAAATGGGTAAACAAACGAAGGCAAATGGAGAGGATTCACGAACTTTCTTGTGTTTTGTACACCTGCGCACAGTTTCGCTTTGCTTTCATTCGTTTGCGTTGGTTTCAAACTCCCGTTCGCTCTTCCCTTCATACCACGCGTTACACAGGGGGCAAAAGAAAAAAAAAAAAAAAAAAAAAAA